GCCCCCTTTTTTAACTAAAAACCCACCCTGGGGTCCCTTTTTTTTTTTTTTGCGAGCCCCCTTAAAGCAAGTCCCCTTGGTTTTTCTAATTCCCCCCCGCCCCCCCCGAAACCAACCTGGGTAAATAGCCCGGGAAAAAGTTGTCCTTCCCCTCCCTCGAAAAAAATGGGGGCTCTTTTCGACGTAGCCCGTTGGAAGGCGAAAAAAAAAGGGGGGGGCAAAGAAGCCCCCCCCCCCCCCCCCCTGAAAAGGGATTGCACGCGTAGTGCAATCTGGAAGACCCGTGGAGAAGAACTCACTTGATGCTAACTCGTACGGAACAGCAGCGGTAGCTGTTGCCTTGGGTAACGGAAAGGACTGACAACAGTGGGGGACGGATCCTCGCTCAAGCAGCTACTACATGTAGATCCTGCCCCCTGTTTTATCCTTCCGCGGGGAGCTACATCTCCCCGCACATCTAAATCCTGTAACCCCCCCCAACAAAATCGAATGTACCACGTAGAGCCCGTTGCTCCTCTTACTCGGAAGCTCAGAGAAAAATAAGTGTGTAGTCCAGCTTTCAGAACATAAAAAAGCTGTCGTCTGTTTGGGGTGTCGGCGCGTGAACTATGTTATCACGCTCGCGGGCTCTTGTCGAGAGCGTGTTGCACAAAGGAGTGACTCAAGTTCCTTGATTATTAGAGAGTAACGGACGTGAGCAAGAAGAGGCAAAGCCTGCTGCACGAAGTCTGTCTATCAAATCCATATCTATCTCATCTGCGTAACCCCCTCGGAGATCTCGGGGACTTGTATCCTGCCGAGTACACACACAAATAGCCCCCCTACTCGGTACGATATACGATCTACGAGATCCTCCGTACATATCGCCAGGTAAAACGGCAACAAATCTAAAAACCATTCATCTTTCGTATCCACAGATCATCTCAACTCCCGGATCTATCGAATATTCAAGTTTCAGGTTACTACTCCTCCTATGATTCTGGAACTTCACTAAGAGTCTTAACAAGCACCCCTTCTCGAGAAAATGTCGTCACCACATTCTCAAGCAGTCAAACACAAATAATTATCCTTGGAAGAATACTCAGCAAAGATCAACATTACATCAGAGCCACGTCATAAAGACTCTGGACGGACAACTCTGGCAAAACACGTCAACAAATACCTCGAACAAAATCCTCGCAAAACTGTGTTTCAACTCATTGACCAATTTTAAATAAGCTTCGGAAGCACATAGGCCTCAACCATGTCTTACCAAAATATTTCAAATCCTTCCTCCAATACATCGTTCAGAACAGTCATCAATACCAAATACATGCGGCACAAATAGACCAACGTTAAAAACCCGGCGTTCGAAGACGCCAGAGGAAACTTTCGCCCATTATGCCGTTTCTCAAACATCCAGACATGGACTTCTTGACAGCCCCCCTGCTGCATCATCTCCCAAAACATAAAATCTTAACAGCCCCTCTGCTGCCTTATCTCCCAAAACATAAAAATCTTAACAGCCCCTCTGCTGCCTTATCTCCCAATACATAAAAGCTTAACAGCCCCCCTGCTGCATCATCTCCCAAAACACAAACGCTTAACAGCCCCCCTGCTGCCTTTTCTCCCAATACATAAGCTCAATGGTCAAATACACTTCGTCTGAATCATAGAAGACAACGAAGAAACAACATACAAATATTCAAAGGATGCAAAATAACTATGTACTACAATGATAATCGTGGTATCACACACAACCCCCCCCCCATGATTATCATGGCAGTACCCAGAACACACAAGATAATATCAAGAAAAACACACATTGACCAAAAGAAATGCCGCCAAACACAAACAGGACACGAACAGTCCAAGAATGCCTCAAAGGTTCATGACAAAGTTGCGGTGCACTGAAAACGCCTCCTTGTGCAGTGGTTTCGTAAGAAAGTCGGCGTGCTGCAAATGCGACGGGACAAAAACGACCTTGAACTCCCCCCGGTCAACACGCTCCCGAATGAAATGGTGGCGGATTTCAATATGCTTGGAGTTGGGGGTGGTGGCTGGGTTGTTAGCCAAATGAAGCGCCCCGACATTGTCCTCCTTGATAACAGTGCACCCCACATCCCCATCCGGAAAGATAAAACTCCAGAGATACCGCAAGAAAATCGCCTCCTTCATGCCATCGGCCATTGCAGCGTAATCAGCTTCCGTAGAAGACATCGTGACGCTCTTCTGAGTCCGAGAGAAAAACGACACGCAGGACCCCGCGCACATGACAACACCTCCCGACACAGACCGCCTGTCCGTCGCTTTGCTAGCGAAGTCCGAGTCCACGTACACCTCCAAGCTAACACCACCTGCCGTACCCCGCTGAAATGTAATACCGTACGCACTCGTGAATCTAATGTACATCACAATATGCAACGCAGCCTTCCAGTGTAAGGACTTGGGCGCGTAAGAATACCGTGCAACGGCACGGACGGCGTTGAGGATGTCCGGCCGAGTTTGATTCGCAAGCCACATCAAGTGCCCCACCAAAGAGCGAAACGGCTCTGTAACGTCGGGTTCACACGCATCAAACTCCTCAAGCTTCACGCCAACGGCCATGGGGGTTTCTTTGTTACGGGTGACACCAAACTTCGCGACCATGGTGGTGGCATACGTCTGTTGGGAAAGCGTAATGGTTCCCTGAGCAAAATCACGAGAAAAACGAATACCAGCGTACAAGCGAAGTTCTCCAAGGTTGGTGATGGGAACATCCTCGTTCAAGTCACTACCAAATTGCTCACACCGACTCTTCTTCCCGATGGCAAAGATGTCATCGACATGGACGACAACGACCATGCCGACAACCCCCTCTTCGATCAAGCGCATGACGCAAGCGTCGGCAGCACACTGTTCAAAACCAAGACTCTTCATGCCCCTAACCAAGTGTTTATGCCACGTGCGGGGTGCTTGCTTCAAGCCATAGAGACTACGACGGAGGCGAACAATCTTACCAGAAAGAACACCGCA